ATACAAATATCATCAATTTTTATTGAAGAATATTCAATATGGTTTTTTGCCTGAATATTCATATTTTTCGGTGATATTTTCATATGTTAAATCATTTTTCAAATAAGTAATTTGACCGAATGGTTTTCGTACATCATTACAATCACGTCTGTAAATTATTTTGAAACCTTCAATCTCCAAACAGTCACTTGGTTTTGTCCATGTTTCAACAAGACTTATCATAGAAGCAGACAAAAATGTTTTATCAGATCTGACATCGAAAATATGTTTATTCAACGATTGTACATTATGAAACATCACGAAAAATCTTTCTTCTTGAGATTCTTCAGGAAGTTCAAGTGAAAATTTGAGCATTCGTTCAGATCTCATATTTTTAAACATCATCGCTACTGCATCTTTAGGTTCAGGTGATTTCGGTGGAACAAAATCGCCATTTAAATACAAACCAATTGATTTTGTCGCACGACTACAAGCGACGTATAATTCAGATCTTGTCATCCCTTTCTTTAGATTGTCAACAACTTTTTCATAAGTACCACCTTAACTTTTATATATAGTCATAGCTTCACAAGGAACTAAAGGAAACTGTTTACGTTCTACTTTGAAATTAGTTGATCCTGTATTTATTTGTCGTACTACTGATTCAACTGGTTTGAGACTAAGATCAATATTTCTATTTCGTATTACATTATGAAAGTTAGCTCTAGCCTTTCTTCCAGTCTTCTCTTCATTAAATTTAATCCATAGTCGACATGGTACTGTCTCATTTGTCTTTTGAAGTTTTCCATAATCAATCGCTATCAATTTTCCACAAGCACCATTTACTAATCCATCTTCAATATCAATATTCACTGTCATCATATACTTAGCGCCCACTTTTAAATCGATTTCAAGTGGTAAACCGTAAGTTTCAGTTGTTTTCAGATTCTTTACATTATTTAGAACTTTTTCTCTTATTGATGGTAGTCCATCACCAACACAATAATCATAAGCATTAGCGATTGCACCTTC